TCAGCGCCGGACGCGTTCGTCTTACCGGTTTGCAAAAAGATTCACGTGTGGAGGGTGGTTCCTTTTCGAGATGTGGTTCGCGACCTAGCGCCGCGCACATTCGTCTTTCAAGCTTGCAGGAGTTTCACGGATGGAGGGCGGCTCCTCGTCAAAATGTGTTGGTCGCCTGAGCGCCGCGCACATTCGGTCTAATAGTTTGCAAGAGTTTCACGCGTGTAGGGCTGGCGGTTTTCAAACTGTGATTCTCGCTCGAGCTCTGCGCACATTCGCCTTCAAAGCTTGCACGAGCTTCTCATCTGGAGGGCGGCTTTGAAAAAAATGTTGTTCTCGTCTCAACGCCGCGCAGAATGGTCTTCAAAGTTTACAACAGTTCAACAAGTTGTTATGGTTGACGTCCACGGAATGGTGTTCTGGCACGAAACAAGATTGTCAGGGCGCAGCAGTAACGTTGATTCGCGGTGTTGCAGTCCAACGAGTTGTGTTTTGGCACGATTGCGGATTCTCAGACGGTTGTCTTCCGACGGGGCACTTCCAGCAGTGAAGATAGATTCGTGTAGGGAATTGTGAAGAGATAGTGGAGGGAGGGTTTATTACAACATCGTTGATGCGTCTTGAGTTCACACTGGTCCTCCTCCTCCTCTTGATACCGTAGCCTTGTGGTTGATATGAAGCAGTTCTCATCCTCCCCTTGTTCTTCGACACCCTCCTCCCTCCTCTTCCTTCTCTTTTTGTTTCCCCCTCTTCTCCTTCACTTCCTCTGGCATTTCCTCTCTCACTTCTCCGCGAAGGAGTTGGGGAATCATGAGGAGGACGACAACGAGGAGAGGAGAATACAGGAGAGTGCAAAGAGAGCGGCAGCGGAAGCCGCTAGGGCGGGATAGTTTCAAAAGAGCCGACCCCCCTCCCCGCGGCAGCCCTGCGACTGCCAGGGGCGTGCGCGCTCCGCGTCGCGCACTGAGAGGTGGGTGGGGTGGGGCAGTAGAAAAGTTTGATGATGATGATGAGGAGGAGCATGATCATTCTGATGCTGAGGCTGATATGATGATGACGATTATGATGATGATGACGATGGCGAGGATGGTGGAAAGGATGAGGATGAAAATGATGGTGGTGAGGATTGTGATTATGATGATGCTGCTGATGATCATCATCATGATGGCGTCCATGATGATGTTGCTGGTCATGCTGATGGAGATGATGACGTGGTGGTTATGGTGTTGAGAATGCTGGAGATGGTGGTGATGCTGATGGTGGTGATGATGGTGTGAATGTTGTTGATGATGATAGCGATGATGATGACGATGCTGATGATAATGACGATGCTGATGATGACGATGATGCTAATGACGATGACGATGATGATGATGATGCTGGTATTGATACTGATGATATTGTTGGCACTGACGATGACAATGACGGTGCTGACAATGCTGACGCACATGGTATTGAGTTTGACGACACTGCTGGCGATACTGGTGCTGGGTATGATGGTGGTGCTGCTGATGATGGTGATGATGATGCTGGTGCTGCTGCTGATGCTGATGCTGATGCCGCTGATGGCGCTGCTGTTGATGATGATGATGCTGCTGATGATGATGACGCAGCCGATGATGACGTTCCTGATCATGATGATGGTGCGGATGATGATGCTGATGCTACTGATCATGCCGTTGATGCTGCTGATGGTGCTGGCGATGACGATGACGGTGCCGATGCTGATAAACATGATGGTAATGGTGACAACGGTGATGATGATGATGATGCTGCTGATGATGGTGATGCTGATGGTGATGATGTTGACGCTGATGCTGATGCCGATGCGGACGCCGCTGATGATGACGATGACGATGGTGAGTATGACGTTTAGGATGTTGGTGATGGGGAAGAAGATGATCATGGTGTTGCTGCTGATGGTGATGACGACGACGATGCTGCGGATGAGGATGGCGATGCTGAGGATGAGAATTTGGATGGTGGTGAGGAGACTGATGATGACCATGCCGATGCTGCTGATGATGGTGCTGATCATGCTGATGATGTTGCTGATGATGCTGAGGATGACGATGACGATGACGATGACGATGCTGACGAAACTGATAAACGGGATGATGTGGATTGTGGAGACGAAGGTGATGATGAGGATTGTGCTGATGCTGATGCTGATGCTGACGTTGCTGGTGATGATGACGATGTTGACGATACTGATTATGTTGTTTATGATCATGGTATTGATGGTGAAGATGGTGATGATGCTGATGATGCTGATACGGATGAGGCTACAGCTGATGATGATGATGATGCTGATGCTGATGCTGATGATGATGATGATGATGATGAGGATGAGAAGGATGCTTATCACGATGTTGATGCTGATGATGATGCCGCTGATGATGATGCTACTGATGATGATGAGATGATGGTGATGATGAGGAGGAGGAGGAATAGGATTAGGATTGGGATTAGGATTGGGAGGAGGAGGATAATGAGGAGGCGGAGGAGGATAATTAGGATGAGGAGGAAGAGGAGGAGGGGGAGAGGGAGGTCCTCCCTCCTTCACCCTCCGCGAGAGGAGTCGCTGTTCATCACCACGCCTCGGCGCGACAAGGTGAAGACGCCCCGCGGGGGTGAGCCCCTGGAGGCCCTTTCGGTCGTCAAGGAAGCATAGGGGGGATGGCCAGTCAGGATGGCTAGGACAGGGGGAGGAGGAGGAGGAGGAGGAGGAGGAGGAGGAGGAGGAGGAGGAGGAGGCGGAGGCGGAGGCGGAGGAGGAGGAGGAGGAGATCGAGGTCGAGGTGGAGGTTGAGGGGGAGGAGGAGGAGGAGGAGCAGGAGGAGGAGGAGGAGGTTGAGGTGGAGGAGGAGGAGGACAGGCAGGTCGAAGTGGAGGTCTAGGAGGAGGGGGAGGAGAATGGAAGAGCAAGAGCAAATGGCGGATCAGGAGGAGTAGAGCGAGCAGAGAGGAGGAGAGGGGGAGGGAGGAGGAGAAGCATGGATCGTGAACATGGAGGAGAGATGCAGGAGTTGGATTATTGTAATGACGACAATGGTGGCGATGACTTGTGTGACGGCGAAGGTGAGTATGGTTGTGCTGGTGTTGATCACGATCACGTGTATGGTGATGCAGGTGGTGACAAACGATGCTGATCATGATCATGTTCATGTTCATGTCCATGCTGCGGGTGATGATGGTGATGATGATTATGATATGGGCGATGCTGGTGTGGATGTTGAGGATTGTGATTGTTACGATGATTGTGGTATATATGACGATGGTGATGACTATGCAGATGTTGATGGTGATGGCCATGATGCCAATGATGGTGACGATGCTGCTGTTGATGATGCTGATGCGTATTATGATGGTGAGTGCTCTATGTTGTATGGCCCTCAGCAGGAGGCGGCAATCATGCTAAGGGGACGATCGGGGAACGAGGAGGCGGAGGCGATGACACATATTGATCATGAGGCGATGGAACAACTATCCTGGGGGATGGTGATGATAATGAGCTGCATTGTGATGATGCACGGTGATGCCGATGAGGAGGAGGATTAACGAGGTATGAGAAGGAGGAGGCGGTATGAAGACAATGACGAGGAGAAACACGATTAACCAACAGTAGCAGCACTAGCGGTAGCCCCCTCAGCAGCTGCGGTCGTGGCTGGAGCCGCATCGCCACTCCGCATGAGCAGTCGCAGAAGCAGCACTCTAGCAGTAGCAGCGGTCGTGGTGGTAGTGCGGGGCGGAGGGATAACTTAGCAGGCGGGCGGGTGGGGAAGAGACGTCGCGCGCGGCGCGGCCCTTCCGCGGGAGGCGGAAGGGCCGCGCCGCCTCGACAGCAGCAGCAGGAGGAGGAAGGAGGGGAAGAGGAGGAGGAGAGGAGGAGGTGGAGGTTTACATTTGGGGCTTAGGCATCCTAGAGGAGGAGGAGAGGAGGAGAGGAGGAGGAGGAGGAGGAGGAGGAGGAGGAGGAGGAGGAGGAGGGGAGGGGGATGGGGGAGGGGCAGAAGCATGTCGGCGAGAGCCGGCAGCAGCACGCTGCCGACGAGGAGGCGAGCGGGAGGGGAGCGGCAGGGCGGCGGCGGCCGGGCTGGGCGGCCGAGCCCCGGAGGCGGCGACCACGGCGGGCTGGGCGACCAGCGCCGCGGACGAGCCGCGGTCCTAGAGGGGGGGGGAGGGGGGAGGGAGGGGGAGGGAGGGGGATGGAGCAAGGGGGGGAGCCAGGGGGGGAGGACAGGGAGAAGAAGGGGGGAGGGAGGGGGAGGGAGCAGGGGAGGGGGGGAGGAGGGGAGGGGAGGGGTGTGTCGAGATGGGCGCGGAACCGCATGCGAACCCTGCCACTGGGGCCTTCGGTGGAGCTCCCCATGGGGCTTTGCAGCGTACGAGGGGTGTACCAAAATGTGCGGCGGGGGCTCATGCGAACGTTGCCGCAAGAACCTTTGAGGTTGAGCTCCCTATTGGGCCACGAAGCGTGTGAGGGGTGTGCCGAAATAGGTGCGGGAGGCGCATGCGGGCTGCGCCAATTGGGTCTTCGGTGGAGCCTCTTGGCCCACGAAGCATGTGAGGCGCGTGCCGAAATGGGCGGGGAACCGCTTGCGAACCCGGCCAATGGGGCCTTCGGCTGAGCTCCTATGGGGCCGCGACATTTGTGAGGTGTCTGTGTGTGTGTGTGTGTGTGTGTGTGTGTGTGTGTGTGTGTGTGTGTGTGTGTGTGTGTGTGTGTCGAAATCCGGGGTGGGGCCCCGAGTGCGTCCTTGCCATTGAGGCCTTCGGTGGAGCTCCCTACGGGGCCACGAAGCGTGTGAACGGTGTGCCCCAATAGGCGGGGGACCACGTGCGAACCCTGCCATTGGGGCCTTCGGTAGAGCTCCCTCTGAGGGGAAACGGAGTCTGGTAGGCGGTATGGAGGAGAGCAGGAGGCAGCAGGGGGAGGGGAGGAGGAGGAGGAGGAGGAGGAGGAGGAGGAGGAGGAAGAGGAGGAGGAGAGGAGGGAGGAGGGAGGAGGAGGAGGAGGAGCAGAAGGAACAGGAGGAGAAGAGGAAGAGGAGGAGGGGGAGGAGGACGATGAGAGGAGGAGGAGGAAGAGGGAGGGAAGAGGAAGAGGAGGAGGAACGAGGAGAGGAGGAGAGAGAAGGGGGTGGAGGCGAGGATGGATGATGATGATATGATTGATGATGATGATGATGATGATGATGATGAGATGATGATGATGTGATGATGATGATGATGCTGATGATGATATGATAATGCTGAGGATGAGGATGCGGATGAGAATGGATGATGAGGATGATGAGGATGAGATTGAGGATGAGGATGAGGATGAGGATGAGGATGAGGATGAGGATGAGGAGAGGAGATGGAGGATGAGGATGAGATGAGGATGAGGATGAGGATGGATAGGAGGATGAGGATGAGGATGAGGATGAGGAAGGATGATGATGAGAGGATGATGCTGATTGATGATGATGATGATGATGATGATGATGATGATGATGATGATGATGATGATGATGATGATCATGATGATGATGATGATGATGATGATGATGATGATGATGATGAGGAGGAGGAGGAGGAGGAGGAGGAGGAGGAGGAGGATGTCCGTCGATCAGGGCCGAATCAGGCTGCTGCGCCGGCGATCGACAGGGCAGACCGCCAGGGCGGAAGCCAGACTGGGCCGGGGGGTGGCCCTGGTCAGCCCACGACTCCGACGTCGATCGTGATACGTAATTCGCAGCGTGGACACCAGGGAGGTCCCCAGACACCCCCGCGTCGCGAGAAAATGACGACGGGATGCTTTTTGCTACATTCGGCTTCTGGGGGCGCCCGCCTTCGAAGCTGGTCCTGGGGAAGTGCAGAAAAATTACGACTTCAGAGATCTGGGTCTGGACCCCTTCCCTGAGATCGGCGTCTCAACCAGAGTTGTTTTCTGACGGCTCCAGGGCCTGGCTAGGGCCCCCGCAGGCCGAACCTTGCTCCCCAAAACGCCAGTCGTATGTTTTGTGTTGTGGTCTTTCTCTCTCTCTCTCTCGCTCTCTTTTTTGGGTCTCTTTTTCTCCCTCTCTCTTTCTCTCTCTCTCTCTCGCGACGAGAGAAGGTGGGGTGGGTGGGCCTCTGAGGCCACGGATATACGAGCTCAACAAGGAGGATGCGAAGCATATGCTCCAGCGAGTCCTCCGGAAGACCAACGCCCCTAAGCCCTGAGTTGCAGTGCCGAAGGTAGGCTGCGCCTGGGCAGGTAGGTCGCTGGCTGCAGGGCAGTCAGAAGCCAGATGGACAGTGAGATTTGCAGCCCTCTGGGGGAGAGTGGGGAGAGTGTGAAGAAACGAGGAGGAGGAGTAGGAGGAGGAGGAGGAGGACGAGGACGAGGACGAGGGAGGACGAGGACGGGGACGGAAGATGGATGGAGGATGGATGACGAGGACGAGGACGAGGACGGGGACGGAGGAGGAAGGGAGGATGGAACGAGGAGGGACGATGGATAAGGAGGAGGAGGAGGAGGAGGGGGAGGAGGAGGAAATGAGGATGGAAAGGGGACGGACAAGGGAGAAAGAAGAGGAGGAGGAGGAGGAGAAGGAGGAGGAGGAGGAGGGAGGAGGAGGAGGAGGAGGAGGAGGAGGAGGAGGAGGAGGAGGAGGTAGGAGGAAGGACGATGATGGAGGGGGAGGGTGAATGGAAGATGTGGAGGAGGAGGGGGGAGGGATGAGGATGACGAGGAGGTAGGGCGTCACTCAGAAAGCATGACTCGACGCGGAGATCCCCGTATGTGCATCTCAGCTCCCGGCACTAACCCGTGAAGCTTCGCCTGTGGCGACTGGGCGCTCCCTGGCGGCCCCCGTCTGGAGTGCTCCGATGCCATGCCCGCTGAGGCGGGGCAGTGTTGGGACTGATGCCTGCAACTTCCCCTCATGAGTCAGTGGGCATGAGTGCATGGCTCGATTCGGTTCCTCCGATTCGGTTCGATTCGATTTCGCTGGCTTCCGATTCGGTTCGATTCGATTCCGATGCGATTCGACTTCAGATTCCGATTGGGACTCCGGTTCCCTGATGGGGACCTGATAGCCTGCCGATTTTCTCCGATTCGACTTACGCCGACTCGGGTTCCTATTTCCGCCGATCCGATTCAGTTCGATCGCCGATCCGACTCATGGATTCGATTCTGGGCTCTCCCGCCTGTGAGTGGGCCCGGGCATGAGCGAGACTGCGCGCGGGCAAGTCCGGGCGCGAGCGACCCTCCCTGCCACCACTCGCTGTTGTGCTCCGCCTGGTGCTGCCTCATGCCAGCCTGCGCTGCTGCCGGATGCCAGGTGTCAGCGCGTCTGGGGCCGCAGGCCCGTTGGCACCCGGGCGAGCAGCGCCAGGCGCAGGCTCGCCACGGTGCGAGAGCCGTGCAGAGGGGAGCACGATGTCTGAGCACCAGTGCGCCTGGCTGGGAGTGGTCCTGAGTGCAGCCAAGACGCTGGAACAGGGACGCTGAAATAATAGCCCCCTTCTTCTTCTGAGTCCTCCTCCTTCCTCCTCCTCCTCCTCCTCCTCCTCCTCCTCCTCCTCGTGGCCAGAGGGGCGCCCCGGGCAGGCCGAGGGCGTCCAGAGGGGCGCCCCTGCACGCACCTCACCTCGCAGAGGCCTTGAGAGTCTAGGCTCGACCCAGGCCAGTTCCCTGAGCGCCTTCACAGTCGAGACGCTGAAGTAAGGAACACTTTGGCTTCGGAAGGGGCTCGATGTTCATCGGGTTCCACCAGTGCTGTTCCTCTTGCCCTCCTGGGGCACGGAGGCGCTTACAGGGCCAAGAAGGGGCTTCGTTCCTCATTTAGCGTTCCTTCTTTCAGCGGCCCGACTGTACGAGTGACCAGGCATGAGTGGTGCTGAGCGTGAGCGAGCAGAGCCTGTTTCGAACTAGCACCTGCGCCTGGCAGGCACCGAGGAGGTGCGCCACAGGCCAGCGATGAAGGCATTCCAGTGCGCCTCGAGGCGCCTAACACTGAGTGTAAAGCACTCGCGAGGAGCTCACGCGCGTACGCGGGTCGCACGCTGAGTTCACGCGAGCCCAAAGCCGACGCAGAGCTGGCGCACACGCGGGCCCACGAAGAGCCGACCGAGGACGCTGTGCAGTGCGAGCTCCGTGGGGAGGGGGCTCCTGTTCGAGGCCTCGTCTCGAATCACCTGCAATTGCGGCTCTCCCGGTCTAGACTCCCCCCTGACTCACACCCCTGCAGCCCAAAAGTGACGACAGGTACAGATTGGAGGAGGACCGCCTCGGATGGCTAACATGAAGTTCGGCCCCCTCTGGGGAGGAAGGCTCCCGCTCAAGGCTTCCTCGGGCCGTTCGAGGCTTTCTCGGGGATCACCCTGAGGCATCCCCACAACCTGGGCGCGAGTGGGCAAATGTCCCCACCCATGGTGGCTCCTCCGTGAGATACTCAAATGCCACGCCTTCTGCATGGAGAGGAGCAGAGGGCTCTGACAAAAGAGGCGCCGCCAAGGGTGGAGACGTTTGCCCGTTCGCGCCCGGCCTGGGGGTGACTCAAGCGGTTCGCGTGCTTGGTTGATGGGGCTCTCTCTCTTCCCAGGACCCCATGTTCATCGCGATGCAGCAGAGGTGGCGGCGTGACATTTGGGCACCCCAAGGAGAAGCCGCGACGGGCAGGGGCATTTGCCCTGTAGCGCCCATGTCATGGTGATGCCTCCAGTGGTTTGCCTTGTTGGTTGATCCGGCTTGTTTTTTATTGTTTTTCTCTCTCTCTCTCTCTCCCTGCCTCTCTCAGGATCCGGCTTTTTTTTTTTTTCTCTCTCTCTCTCTCTCTCTCTCTCTCCCTCCCTGTCTCCCTCGAGAGCCCAATGCCCATCGCGATGTAAGAGGCGTGGCGTTTGAGCACCCCCAGCGAGGAGCCGCCGAATGTAGGGACGTTTGCCAATTCGCGCCCAGATCGTTCGGGTGCCTCAGGTGGTCTGCAGGTTTGGTTGGTTGGACTTCTCTCTTTTCAGGACCCCGTGCCCATCGCGTTGCAGCAGGCGCCGAATTTGACAACCCAGCGGAGGAGCCGCCACGAGAGGGTAACATGTGCCTCTTCGCGCCCACACTGTGGGGAAAGCCCCGGCGGTTTGCCTGTTTGGTTTGGTTGGGTCCTCGCTTCGACGAGACAGCGCCCCGCGGCTCCGTCCCTCCTCATTCCTCCTCCCTTGCCCCTCATGCCTCCTGCCATGTCGGCGCACCCCTCACACGCCTCGTGGCCCCACAGGGAGCTCCACCGAAGGTCTCAATGGGGCAGTTCGCATGCGGTCCCGCCACCCATGTCGACACACCGCTCACGTGTTCCGTGGCCCCACACGGAGCTCTACCGAAGACCTCAGTGGCGCAATTCGCATGCGGTCCCGTGACTCATTTCGGCACACCTCTCACACGTTTCGTGGCCCCATAGGGAGCTCCACCAAAAGTTCCAGCGGCCAACCCAGCCATGCCGGCACACCCCATCACGCGTTTCGTGGCCCTAGAAGGGGCTCCACCGAAGGCTGCGCGTGGCCCCATAGGGAGCTGGAGCTCCACCGAAGGCCTCAAGTCTGAGTGTGAGTTAGTCTGAGTATGGCTGAGTGTGAGTATGAGTTGGTCTAAGCATGAGAGAGTCTGAGTGTGATGAGCGAGTCTGAGTATGAGTGAGTCTGAGTGCGAGTGAGTTTGAATATGAGTGAGTTCAAGTGCGGAGGAAGAGGAGCCAGAGGAGAGGGAGGTAAGTGAGGAGCTGGAGGCGTCTGAGTAATAAAAAGAGTACCATCTTAGGAGATGGGGAATAATGAGGATGAGGACGATGGGAGCACACGGAGACGGGGTTGGAGGAGGAGGATGCAGAGGGGATGAAAGGCGAAGGAGAAAGGGGGAGTGGAAGGACGCATCATCTCATTTTGCCTGTGGTTTCGTCTGCCCTGAGCGTAGCGACTGACGCCCCCCCGTTGCGGTGGGGGAGCGTTTCGTCAGTGCAGTCCAGGTGCTCTTTGGCGGGAGGGGGCAGGAGGAGCAGGAGAGAAGGAGCACGGAGGGAGGAGCCGGAGCTGGTGGAAGAGGAGGAGTAGATGGGGAAGAGCGGGATGAGGAGTGGGCGGCGAAGACTCGGATCCCTAAAAATCCCCAGGGACTCGAACTCTGGGCACTGGGATGGGCCGATCAGGCCATCCCTGTGTGCTGTATTCGAGAGCTGAGGGCCTGACTTCTTAGGGGATGCTTCCTGGTCGCTGTGCCGGACTGTACGCAGCCAATTCGCAAGATTTGCGGCCTTTTCCAGCACAAGCGCCGTGGTGGCTGCAATCAGACGCAGAGACAGCCCATGTCCGAACGGTGGAGCGGTTGCCCTTCATCATCGCCCCTCCCTCCCTCCTTCCTCGTCGTCGTCGTTGTTGTCGTCGTTTTTATGATTGGCAAACATCAGCGACGGGGCTGCTGCGCTCCCCAAGAGCTCGAACACTAATAGGGACGGACGCAAAACATTCAAAGAGGACGAGTGGGAGAGGAACAGACACGTGATGTGCGGCAGTAGTGCTGGAAGGAAAGTAGAAAGGCGAGAGAAGCTGGATAAATAGGGCGAATAATGTCGTCGTCGTCGTCGCCGTCGTCCCCCTTCTCCTCCTCCTCCTCCTCCTCCTCCTCCTCCTCCTCGTAATCCTGCTCCTCCTCCTCCTCCTCCTCCTCCTCCTCTTCCTTCGTCCTCCTCCCTTTCCTCCTCCTCCTCCTCCTCCTCCTCCTCCGCCTCCTCCTCCTCCTCCTCATCCTACTCCTCCTCCTCCTCCTCCTCCTTCCTCCTCCTCTCTCTCTCCTCCCTCTCCTCCCCCTCCTCCTCTCCTCCTCTCCTCCTCCTCTCCTCCTCCTCCGTCCTCCTCCTCCTCCTCCTCCTCCTCCTCCTCTCCTCCTCCTCCTCCCTCCCTCTCTCCTCCTCCTCCTCCTCCTCCTCCTCCTCCTCCTCCTCCTCCTCCTCCTCCTCCTCTCCTCCTCCTCCTCCTCCTCCTCCTCCTCCTCCTCCTCCTCCTCCTCCTCCTCCTCCTCTCTGTCGCCGTGGCCGGGCCGTTTTCCCGTCTGCCTCCGCCCCTCCCAGCCGCCGAGGGCCTCCAGGGGGCTGGGGGAGCGTGGGCATCGAGGATCGATTGTCGAGAATCGAGGATCGAGAATCGAGGGTCCCCATCTCCCCCGCTCTCCTCTTGTCTCTCTGCTGCCTGCCCTCCCGCACACCAGACCTCTGACGATCCGTGGCATTCTTCACACCATGGACCCCTCCGAGGTCTGCGCCTTCCTCCTGGGGGGAGGAGGGGGAGGAGAATGGGCAGGAGGAGAAGGAGGAGGAGGAGGAGGAGGAGGAGGAGGAGGACGAGGACGAGGACGAGGATTAGGACGAGGAGGACGAGGAGGACGCGCGGGTCAAGGACTTGGCGTTGCGATGCCTCGGCAGGCCATCCAGTGGGGCGGTGCGAGCATTGAAGTTGCCCCGTGGAGGGGTGGACCCAACCAGCAAGAGGTTTGGGTCCCCTTCCCTGTCCACTGAGAATGTTTTTTCGTTTGCGCATGTCTTGCGGTTGCGGGACGCGCGCTCAGAGGCTCCAGAGGCTCCAGAGGCTCCAGAGGAGGAGGAGGAGGAGGAGGAGGAGGAGGAGGAGGAGGAGGAGGAGGAGGGGCCGGCAGTTGAGGGGCCCCGGAATGCCGCAAATGGCCAAGAGCCGTTTTCGGCAACAGGGGGGGGTCCCCTCCTGTCCCCTCGATCTCTCCTCGGCCCGTGGCCTCCTTTCCTCTCTCCCGCCCCCCCCCCAGGAAGGCCCTCGGGGATGGCCCGGCGGGCGTCTCGCCCTCTGTTTCCAAGAGGGGGCTCGCGGCTCGGGTGCGGCCCGTGTCCGAGGCAGAGGTGGCGTCGTGCGATGGGGTGAGAGGAGGGTATGGTCAGAGTCAGATAGGGCGGGGCAGGACATGATACGGTCGGGACCTTTGGCTTAGCGTGTCTCCAGGCCTCCCAGATGGGGTCGGAGTAGATGGGGTCGGGGGCGCCGCATCGCAGATGCATCGACGATGCGGCTCGATGCGGAGCCCGATTTTCTCCACGGCGACGTCGCCGATGCATCGCCGACGTCGCCGATGCATGGGGAGGCCTCTCTTGGCTTAGCGTGCCGCGCTGCTGGTTCCGGCCCACCGTGCTTCGGCGCGGCACGCCGTTCACGTCCCATTCCTCCCGAGCGTCAGCGTCCCGAGCTGTCCACGAGCCTCGGGCCCTGGGGGCGGAGCGCAACAACGCTGTCCGCTCGCAGGGCATAGCGCGTGGCCGCGGCCGCTGCCGCGACACGCTTAGCAACAGTTCCCGACCGTATGGCCATAGCCAGGAAGGAGGAGGCGGATCAGGAGGAAGAAGAGAGGGAGGAGGAAGAGGAGGAGGAGGAGGAGGAGGAGGAGGAGGAGGAAAAAGAGGAAAAGGAGGAGGAGGACGGAGGAGGAGGAGGAGTGATGAGCAGGATGAGGGGGGAGAGGAGGGGTCATGAGGATGGGGAGGAGGAGGAGGAGGAGAGGAGGAGGAGGAGGAGAGGAGGAGGAGAGGAGGAGGAAGGAGGAGGAGGGGAAGAGGAGGGAGGAGAGGACGAGGAGGAGGATGAGGAAGAGAGGAGGAGGAGGAGGAGGAGGAGGAGGAGGAGGAGGAGGAGGAAGAGGAGGAGGAGGAGGAGGAGGAGGAGGAGGATTTTGACATCAACCGTGCCCAACAGACGACGGATCCGCCGTCGCCACCTGCTCCCAGGCCTGGATGAAGGCAGGCCAGCAAGCAGTATGAAAAAAGGCAATGGGAGGGCGGGCGAGACAGCCACGAGGCGATTTCCCGCAACGGGGAGGATCCCCTGTGGCTAACCGCCCGCCCCCCAAAGGCCAAGACCTTATAAGAAGTGAGGTCGAGGCCGAGACGCTCCTCGGGCAGGGAAGCCTGAGGAGCATCTCTTAGTCCGAGTCGTCGGACTGCGCCACAGATGACGACGCGTGGGGCTCCTCCCTCTTCGAGGGTTGGGGCGTGCCCGACGCGCGCCAACAACCATCCTGGGCGGCATTGCGCCCAGGGAGGCTGCCCCCACCGCCCTGAGCGGAAGGGGAGTGTAAAGACCCCCACTGACTTCACCTGCACAACGGTCGCCAGGGCCCGCGAGGGCCACTGGCCGTGCACCAGGGAAACCACCCCCCAAACGAGGAGGAGGAGGAGGAGGAGGAGGAGGAGGAGGAGGAGCAGGAGGAGGAAAAGGAGGAGGAGGAGGAGGAGGAGGAGGAGGAGGAGGGAGAGGAGGAGAGGAGGAGAGGATGAGTGGAGGAGGTGGAGGAGGTGCAGGAGTGGGGGAAGAAGAGGAGGAGGAGGACCAGTGTAAACCCAAGAGTCATCAACGATGTTGGAATCAACCCTCCCTCCAAGCTCCCTCTGCATAGGCCTCTACAGCGGTCTATTTCCATTGAGGGAACTGCCTCGCTGGAAGACAACTGTTTGAAGACCCTGAAGCATGCCAAAACATTGTTCTCGGGATTTCCACGCCACGGATCACCCCGACTGCTGCGTCCTGAGGACCTGGAATCGTGTCATAATATTTTTTGGGTGACATCAACACCGCGAACCCGCCCTCAACCCGTGACACTCTTGCAACTATTTAAAACGAATCCGCGCGGCGCTAAGGCGAGAGCCACATTTTGGAAACGACCCGCCCTCAACCCGTGAAGCATTTGCATCTTGTTAAAAGGTATGTGCGCGGCGCTAATTCGAGAGCCACATTTTGAAAACGACCCGCCCTCCATCCGTGAAGCTCTTGCATTTGTACAACGTATGTGCGAGGCGCTAAGGCGAGAGCCACATTTTGAATACGACCAGCCCTCAATCTGTGAAGCTCTAGCAATGTTTCAAAATGAATGTGCGCGGCGCTCAGGCGGGAGCCACATTTTGAAAACGACCCGCCCTCAATCCGTGAATCTCTTGCACATGTTTAAAACGAGTGTGCGCGGCGCTAGGGCGAGAGCCACATGTTGAAAACGACCCGCCCTCCACCTGTGAAACTGCGGTCATTTGTTAAGCTTCAGGGCCATTGGTGGTGAGGAAATCTCAGGCGAAACACCTGGCCCGCCTTAAAACAACTGGCTTCAGGGTGCGAGAGGGAGCAGGTGTGTGTGTATGTATATATATATATATTGCCATCCATACATACATACACACACACACATACATACATACACACATACATACATACATACATACATACATACATACATACATACATACATACATACATACATACATACATACATACACACATACATACATACATACATACATACATGCATACATACAACCATACAAACATACAAACAAACAAACATACATATATACATACCTACATACATACATACATTCATACATACTTACTTACGTACATACATACATACATACATACATACATACATACATACATACATACATACATATATATATATATATATATATATGTATGTATATGCATAAGGACAGGAAGTGTAGGAGGAGGAGGAGGAATATGAGGAGGAGGAGGAGGAGGAGAAGAGGAGGAGGAGGAGGAGGAGGAGAGGAGGAGGAGGAGGAGGAGGAGGTGGAGCAGGAGGAGGTGGAGGAGGACAGGAGGAGGACAGGGGGAGGAGGAGACGGAGAAGAGGAGAGGAGGAGGAGGAGGTGGGAGGATGCGGAGTTGGAGGCGGAGGTGGAGGAGGAGTAGGAGAGGAAAGGGGCAGAACCTGTATCGGATGGTGGCGCGCACAGGGCGAAGGCGCGAGGGGGGGTTGGCGTTCCAGGGCCCCCGAGATCCGATTTGCGGGGCGTGGTGCTCCAAGCACGACCGTTTCCAGAACACGTGGTCGGATTTGCGCGTCTTGTGTCTTCCCCGCTCGTTCCTTCTTTCGTTTGGTCTCTCTCTCTCTCTCTCTGTATCTCTCTCTCTCTTTCTCTCTGTATCTCTCTCTCTCACATTTTCTATGTTTGGTCCTCTCTCTCTCTC